CCCCCTGGAGATTTGGACCCCCCCCCCAATAGGTCTCTGGATCCGCCACTGGCATTGTCTGTTTACGTATCGTAACCCACTAGATATCGCACCCCCTGATACTAATAAGATTTATTGGTAAAAGCACGGACTTAGATCTAAGGGGTGCGATATCTAGATCGGGACAGGAACGGACTTATTAATATTTGATAAAAGTATCCCAATTACAGGTTCTGGTCAGGATTGGACTCAATTATATATAATATATTTAATTATGCTTATCGGGTATTCCTTCATTCATCAGTACAGACATTAATGTTATATGTGGAGACATGATATTTACTCATTCACGTCTCAATTAATTGCATAACTCAACAATAAAATAAACACACGTTGGAACATATTAGAGTGCATGCAATCCATCCTCGATATCCGGGGGTTACGCTCAATTTCGCCCTCTACACCCCTGGAATATGTCATAGCAAAATTGAAGGCACGAAGATTGCTGTTTGATTGGACTCAGCAGAGACGTATACGTCTCTGGTCTCAGGTAAAAAAAAAACTGACCAATCTCATAATTCATCTGAAATATAAACTTATAAAGCAACCATATCTTTGCTAAAACGTATACGTTCTATTATATAAACATATACATGCGATCAAGCAGTTAGAAATATAATAACCAGTCTCTGTAATTATATAATTTATCACAGGAATGATATATAGGTTAAAATATAGAAAAATGAATTTCGTTATTTTGAAGTAAATTATCACGGGAATGATATACAATGATTTATCTTTGTTATATATATTGGATAAAATGTAGAAAAATGGATTTCATTATTAATGAAGTAAATTCGGAAAGAAATCAAAGAAATACAGAAGTTATTGTTATTTGTAGAAAGCATCACCTGTCAATCAAAGGTCAGGTTTAATTGAAACTGGTTCAGATCACACGTGGCCAAAACCATACCTAAATACACATGTCAATCACGTACACGCGTGACAAGTCACGTGCCGCTTAATTAGTCGGTCCCATCACACGTGGATAGAGTCACCACACTGCTGTCTAAATGAAACAGGTGTATACAAATGTGTAACTTTACGATTTCCATCGGCTTTACCAAAGATAATTACATAAACTTGTTCGGATTGTTTCATGTTAGGAAACAAGTAAAATTACACAGTTAGATAATAGCCAATGATGAGCTTCAAATAATTATCTTGATGATAAATAACCCTCGTTTTTAAATTATTTGTAGTTCTAAATAGAATTAATAGTCATTCAATATTGAGACAAAAATAGCATACACTGTATATACATGTACATGGAACACTCAATTAACCGGAAATAAAAAAAGGTTAAATTTCATCAAAATGGTAACTAAAGAACAACGAAACTTCAATAAAAAAAAATACACACATATATTTGTGCATAAGTTTTCAAAATACTGATATAACTATGATGCTTCTTTATTCCAATACATTATTCCAGAAACAAACAGAAATATAGTTATTGATCCTATTTTAAAAAACAACAACATTTTTTACTTAATGTCTTTATATATGTAAGGTCTAACAATACATCATATAACAAGTACAAATGGTAATATATGAGAGTGAGCGAGTATAATTGTTTTTTTTTTTACCGTTATTGTCCTACTATCTACCACTAATGAAATATTCCAGCACTCTTTCCATACATCGTTTACTTGTTGATAGATACAATATATTGTTGTTAAGACATTACAAAATATGGCTAGGTTAAGAAAAACATTTTACTAATGGGTATCCATTCGTTTACTGTTCCATTCGTGAATGTACGTAGCATAGCTTGAGTTCCTGTTGATGTGGTTCAAATATAGAAAACACAATTCACCTTTTCTTCCAACGTCCTCTATAGGTATTTTAGGCATCACATCTTCTCTGTGTATAATCTATTAGGATTTGTAAATCTTCATGTTGCCATGGTGTCGTTGGTATGTCTAATGAAACTAATAGAAATATACTTAATCATACTAGTTCCTATTCAAAATATCTAAACGTAGTTCTAACGATATAAAATATACCAATTAGGAATGGTAGTATGAGAGTGAGTGAGTATATGTGTTCTTTCATTATAGTTAAAGAATCATTTTTCCGCTATTGTCCTATCTTCCACCCATAACTTCAATATATCAATGACATTAAAATAATTGGATACCGGTATCTATAGGAAAAGACTTACATGTATATAGGCTAAGCCTGTTGTCTGGTCCCTTTGTTAATATATGTATTGCTATATTTCTTCTATAATAATTGTATTTATCTTTGTTTGTATTAACAATGAAATATTTTGAAATGAAATGCGTAGATTGAATTAAGTAATTCCAAATAACGACGACCTTGCCAAAACAATACCCGGGTCCACACAACATCGTAACTTCTATTGGGTAAATTTTACTTTATATTGGATAGTATTGGGTAAATCGATACTTGTATTAGGTAGTATTGGGTAAATCGATACTTGTATTGGATTGTATTGGGTAAATTGATACTTGTATTGGGTAGTATTGTGTAAATCGATACTTGTATTGGGTTGTATTGGGTAAATCGACACTTGTATTGGGTTGTATTGGGTAAATCGACGCGCCGGAGGTTACTGTAAATGTCTTTTTTTACAGTGAATTTGGGTGTATTTATTTTTTAGACATATCAACTGATAAACATACTATTCACCATAGATTACTATTAAAGTAATTTTTAAAGACAGAGCAGACAGTCATTCGGATTACTAATACACATATGTATTTGTTATTACAGACAGATTATGAACACTTGCCGTTTCAGAATTATTTTGGTTATACTAGATGTAATTTAGGCATTTGGAAATATATGGTTAGAAAGCAAGATCAAACAAATAGTTATCGCAACACTCGGCTCTAGTTGTTCAGTTGTTCCAGGTATTTTCATTATAGCAAAGTACTTACGGCGTGTGTCAGATTTCCGGACTGCTGAAAACCTCTCCGGATGCAAGTTTGTTTTTCCGGCACCAACTTCTTCCATCCAATCAAATTATAGGATGTACCATATCAATAAGGTGTCTAAATATAGTACACAGAGCAGCTCGATAACTCACTGTACANCCCCCTTTGCGAGGAAACTTCCCTAAAACTATTCCCTAGTGGTACGTCGCATCTTTAACACAGAAAACAACACCAGCAGATGTATATAAGCCTTTAATTCTACATGTACGAACATGAATGCCTGTACGAACATACACGGACGCACTCAAGTACACTTGTGTTTATTAAGTGGTGACACACACAGAACATTTAATTATTGTTTTAGACTGGTAATATATCTATATGCATGTGTATTGATATATACTATCACTGACTTATTTATGATGAACATCATCTACATCTTCATCTTTCATTGCTCTGTCAATCAGTTGCACAACACAATTTTTACTCTCACATGCAGACGACGTGTGAGGGGGAATTCTTTATTACATCAGGTTACACTGTTTACACACACGTACTAACATGTATTTCTACATGTATTACAGACAGATGATTACACGTTTACGTATCAGATGCAGGTTCTTTCAAAATATAATACGTTCTGTGGATAAACATTGTTATTGTGTTGTGTGACCTGAAAGGAATTTCACACGGTCATATATGGTACATTTAACATCATGGACATTTTTGTCCGCGCTACAATATAAGATTTCATATGGTACACAAGATATTTTCTAGTGATATAAATTAAGCTTTTTATTACATTTTACCAGTGAAATTTCAAAAATTATCAGTAAAAACACAGATCTGTGAAATCTTCACATGCGATAATTTGCTATCAAGTCCTATTGATATAATATTGACCAATCAAAAGGTTAATTTCTATTTACCGCCGCTGATTTTCTGTTCAGATGTAGACGAAGCAATAGTAGAATAAGTGGTTGGTTTAGTACATCTGTGGTATATACACTGAGTTATCAACGTCCATACATAATTAATAACATAGTTATAAGCAAAACCTACTTGAATTGGCAGAAAAAGATATAATAACTGCTTTGAGAAGCCCATTCAATATGTTGTCAAGCGTCAAGGTACATGAGCTGGAATCAACTTTCTTGGCGTGACAATATTTTCATCATTTTAGTAAAAAAATAATGTAATAAATAGAAAATTTAGTAGAAATGTAAGAATTGGAGAATATTTACTGATTTCCTGTTGAATATATGAACTATTTAACTTGTATGGTAGAATATATTGATATTTCAGGAGTGCCAAATTAGTATTTGTCGTTTTAATGCCTATTTTGTGTCTATGTGATTACATGGTGGACATCTAGATACTTAAGCAGTTCAGCAGTACATGCACACCAAACTACGTTATTGGTGTCCAACACCTTCAGGGCTCACACTGCTTCATGTAGGGAATATGTTATCATCTTGCCCAATATATATTTCAAACCAAATATGATTACAATACACACAACCCTTT